AGCCACCAAGGTCCATGCCCTTGGCCGGGAATCGAACCTGGGACCCCTCGGGCTGCAGGCCGACGCTCTATCCACTGAGCCGCACCGGTTTCGGCTAAAACATATTTTTAATTGATTTTTTTTACAGAAAGGAAGAAGGGAGAGGGATAGAGAGTTCCTAGAAACTAACGATGAGAGAGAAACATCCATCCGCTGCCTCCTGCACGCCCCCCACTGGGGATGTGCCCTCAGCCACCAAGGTCCATGCCCTTGACCGGGAATCGAACCCGGGACCCTCCCGTCCGCAGGCCGGCGCCCTGCCCCATTTACTCCCAGGATCCCAGGGCGCCCGGCCGGCTTCCCCTGCAGGCCCTGCAGCTGCCTTCCGTCCACACGCCTCCAGATGCTCCCTCTGCCTCCACCCTGACCCCCAGGACCCCATCACCAGCCCGGCACCCCCCTGGCCACCCACCTACCTGCGGGTCCTTCTCTGCGCTGAGCCGAACCGTGTCCCTGTCCAGTCCCGTCCTGCACGGGGCCAGACTGTCACCCCACAGCCCGGACACCTCTGCTCCCCTTATGTCACCCCTCGGGGCCCCACTCCCCAGTAATTACAAGCGCCAAGAGCCGGGAGACTGCCTCCAGCACCCGCGGGCGATCGATGTGGGCGGGGAGGGAGGACTCAGACTCTCCCTGGGGGGGGGACATGGCACCGGCCGGGGTGGCGTCCGATGGGGAGATAGCCGCCCGCCACCCACGGCCTGGATCCCCGCCCTGGGTCCCCACCCTGCGTCCCCGTCTGGCCCAAGGGCCTCCCCGAGTCTGTTCTGTGCGGCCTGGCGAAGAGTTGACAATCTGGATCCAATTTTTATTTTATTTATTTTTATTTATTTTTATTTTTAATATATTTTATTGATTTTTTTACAGAGAGGAAGGGAGAGAGATAGTTAGAAACGTCGATGAGAGAGAGTCATCGATCAGCTGCCTCTTGCACACCCCCTACTGGGGATGTGCCCGCAACCAAGGTACATGCCCTTGACCGGAATCGAACCCGGAACCCTTCAGTCCCCAAGCCGACGCTCTATCTATCCACTGAGCCAAACCGGTCTCGGCTGGATCCAATTTTTAAAAAAATATATATATTTTATTGATTTTCCACAGAGGAAGGGGGAGGAACAGAGAGCTAGAAACATCCATGATGAGAGAGAACCATCCATCCGCTGCCTCCTGCACGCCCCCCACTGGGGATGTGCCCGCCTCCAAGGTCCACGTTCTTGACTGGGAATCGAACCCGGGACCCTCAGTCCACAGGCCGACGCTCTTTCCACTGAGCCACACCGGGTAGGACCATGCTGACTTTTAAATCAAATATGTTGTTATGGATTTCAGAGAGGAAGAGAGAGAGACACAGATTCATGAGGGGAGAGAATCGTGGATCGGCTGCCTCCTGCACGCCCCCCACTGGGGGATGGAGCCTGTGCCCTTGACCGGGAATCGAACCCTGACCTGCTGGTTCCTAGGTTGACGCTGAGCCTCGGAGCCAGGCCGGCTGCTGGGCAGGTTATAATTTTGGAGGTGCCAGCTGGCTTCCCAGGTGGCCCTGTCCTCCCGCCCCCATTCCCTCCCTTTCACCCTCCTGTACCCTCAGGGGACCCCACGCTGCTTCTGAACTGCATGGGACATGGGTGCCTCTTAGCCTGTAGGTGGATCGGGTAATATGTGTCTCCTTGTTCATCCACCTCACGTAGCACACGTGAGGTTTTGAAACGCATGTTATCCTGTGTCCACTTTTAATTCCTCCTCCTGGTCATGCGTGTGGTTACAGACCTGAGACCTGTACCTAACTTTTTGAAAAATATATATATTTTATTGATTTAAAAAAATATATATATATTTTATTGATTTAAAAAAATATATATATATTGATTTTTTTACAGAGAGGAAGGGAGAGAGAGAGAGAGAGCTAGAAATGTCAATGAGAGAGAAACATCGACCAGCTGCCTCCTGCACACCCCCCACTGGGGATGTGCCCGCCACCAAGGTCCATGCCCTTGACCGGAATCGAACCCGGGACCCTTCAGTCCGCAGGCGGACGCTCTACCACTGAGCCAAACCATTTTCGGCTGTATCTAACTTTTTAAAAAACGTATATATTTTATTGATTGTTTTACAGAGAGGAAGGGAGAGGGAGAGAGAGAGAGCTAGAAACATCCATGATGAGAGAGGAACATCCATCAGCTGCCTCCTGCACACGCCCCCCACTGGCGATGTGCCCGCCACCAAGGTCCATGCCCTTGACCGGGAATCGAACCCGGGACCCTTCAGTCTGCAGGCCGACGCTCTATCCATTGAGCCAAGCCAGCTAGGACTTGGGTGGCATTTTAATTGTGGGAGTGGGGTGGCAATAAAGTAAAAATTAGTTTGTGTCCTAATTAATATATATGTGTGTGTGTGTGTGTGTGTGTGTGTGTATTCACATTTTTTTTTTTTAATTGATTTCAGAGAGGAAGGGAGAGGGAGAGAGAGCTAGGAACATTCACGATCAGAGAGAACCATGGACCAGCTGTCTCCGCACGCCCCCTACTGGGGGCCGAGCCCACAACCCGGGCCTGTGCCCTTGACCAGAATCAAACCAGGACCCTTGCCGAAACCGGTGTGGCTCAGCAGTAGAGCATCAGCCTGGGGACTGAAAGGTCCCGGGTTCGATTCCCGGTCGAGGGCATGGACCTTGGTGGCAGGCACATCCCCTGTGGGGCGCGTGCAGGAGGCAGCTGATTGATGACTCTCTCTCATCAATGTTTCTAACTCTCTCTCCCTCTCTCTCTTCCTCTCTGTAAAAAAAAATCAATAAAATATATTAAAAAAATAAAAGCCGAAACCGGTTTGGCTCAATGGATAGAGCATCGGTGTGCGGACTTTAAGGTCCCAGGTTCGATTCCGGTCAAGGGCATGGACCTTGGTTGTGGGCACATCGCCAGTGGGGGGTGTGCAGGAGGCGGCTGGTGGATGTTTCTCTCTCATCGATGTTTCTAGCTCTCTATCCCTCTCCCTTCCTCTCTGTGAAAAATCAATAAAATATATTTTTTAAAAAATCAATAAAATATGTTAAAAAAATAAAAGCCGAAACCAGTTTGGCTCAATGGATAGAGCGTCGGCCTGCGGACTGAAAGTTCCCGGGTTCGATTCCTGGTCAAGGGCATGGACCTTGGTGGCGGGCACATCCCCAGTAGGGGGTGTGCAGGAGGCGGCTGGTGGATGTTTCTCATCAACGTTTCTAGCTCTCTCTCCCTCTCCCTTCCTCTCTGTACAAAATCAATGAAATATATTATTAAAAAAAAAAAATAGGACCCTTCAGTCCGCAGGCCGACGCTCTAACCACTGAGCCATCCCCGTCTCTCCTTGTCTCCCCCCCCCCCCCCCCCCCCCCCCGCAGACACGGAACGGCTGTACTCGGAGGTGTTCGGCGAGATCTGCGGCCGCTACGGGAAGGCCTACAGCTGGGACGTCAAGGCCCTGGTGATGGGCAAGACGGCGCTGGAGGCCGCCCAGATCATCGTCGAGGAGCTCTCGCTGCCCACCACCGGCCAGGCGCTGGTGCAGGAGAGCCAGGCCATGCTGCAGGCGCGGTTCCCCACCGCGGGCCTCATGCCAGGTGCGTGGCTGCGTGGCAACCCCCCCGCCCCCCCACCGGGGGCCGGCGCGCGTCAGAGCGGCCGGTCGAACGGACGGCCGGACGCTCAGCATATTAGCCTTTTAGGACATAGGATTAGAAGCCCGGTCGAACGGACGGTCGGACACTCAGCATATTAGCCTTTTATAATATAGGACTAGAGGCCATCTGCGTGGATGCGTGACCCCTAGCGACTGGTCGAACGGACGGTCGGACACTCAGCATATTGGCCTTTTATAATATAGGATTAGAGGCCATCTGCGTGGATGCGTGACCCCTAGCGACCGGTCGAACAGATGGTCGGACACTCAGCATATTAGCCTTTTATCATATAGGACTAGCGACTGGTCGAACAGACGGTCGGACACTCAGCATATTCGCCTTTTAGGATATAGGATTAGAAGCCCGGTCGAACGGACGGTCGGACGCTCAGCATATTCGCCTTTTAGGATATAGGATTAGAAGCCCGGTCGAACGGACGGTCGGACGCTCAGCATATTAGCCTTTTAGGACATAGGATTAGAAGCCCGGTCGAACGGACGGTCGGACACTCAGCATATTAGCCTTTTATAATATAGGATTAGAGGCCATCTGCGTGGATGCGTGACCCCTAGCGACCGGTCGAACAGATGGTCGGACACTCAGCATATTAGCCTTTTATCATATAGGACTAGCGACTGGTCGAACAGACGGTCGGACACTCAGCATATTCGCCTTTTAGGATATAGGATTAGAAGCCCGGTCGAACGGACGGTCGGACGCTCAGCATATTCGCCTTTTAGGATATAGGATTAGAAGCCCGGTCGAACGGACGGTCGGACGCTCAGCATATTAGCCTTTTAGGACATAGGATTAGAAGCCCGGTCGAACGGACGGTCGGACACTCAGCATATTAGCCTTTTATAATATAGGACTAGAGGCCATCTGCGTGGATGCGTGACCCCTAGCGACCGGTCGAACGGACGGTCGGACACTCAGCATATTAGCCTTTTATCATATAGGACTAGCGACTGGTCGAACGGACGGTCGGACACTCAGCATATTGGCCTTTTATCATATAGGACTAGCGACTGGTCGAACGGACGGTCGGACACTCAGCATATTAGCCTTTTATCATATAGGACGAGCTACTGGTCGAACAGACGGTCGGACACAGCATATTGGCCTTTTACGATATAGGGCTAGAGGCCCGGTCGAACGGACGGTCGGACACTCAGCATATTAGCCTTTTATTATATAGGACCAGAGGCCCGGTGCATGGATTCGTGTACCCCCTGGTGGTCAGCGCGCGTCCTAGCGACCGGTCAAACGGACGGTCGGACACTCAGCATATTAGCCTTTTATCATATAGGACTAGCTACTGGTCGAACGGACGGTCGGACACTCAGCATATTAGCCTTTTATCATATAGGACTAGCTACTGGTCGAACAGACGGTCGGACACACAGCATATTGGCCTTTTATCATATAGGACTAGCGACTGGTCGAACAGACGGTCGGACACAGCATATTGGCCTTTTACAATATAGGGCTAGAGGTCCGGTTGAACGGACGGTCGGACACTCAGCATATTAGCCTTTTATCATACAGGACTAGAGGCCCGTGTGTGGATTTGTGCACCGTGGGGTTCCTCGGCCTGGCCTGCACACATGCCTCGGGGGGTCCTGGGATGTGAGAGGGCGCAGGCCAGGCCGAGGGACCCCACCGGGGCACGATCAGGGCTGGGGAGGGCCTAGGGGAGGTGGGCCAGCCAGGGAGGGATCGAGAGAGGGTTCCAGGGCGTGTCTGGCCTGTCTCGCTCAGTCCTGATCGGCTGGCCACATCCCAGCAGCACACTGACCTACCGGTTGGAGCGTCTTCCCCGTGGTGGTCAGTGCCCGTCATAGCGACCGGTCGAACGGGCGGTCGGACACTTAGCCAAACAGGCTTTTATTATATAGGATGATGCTTCCATCTTGCTGTTTGAAGGACGTCTTAACGTGCTATACACTGCTGCCTGGCCTGCGTGGCTCAGTGGTTGAGCATTGACCCAGGAACCAGGAGGTCATGGGTTTGATTCCTGGTCAAGGGCACAGGCCTGGGTTGCAGGCTCCATCCCCAGGAGGGGGCGTGCAGGAGGCAGCCGGTCCGTGATTCTCTCTCTCTCTCTCTCTCTCTCTCTCTGTCTCCCTCTCCCTTCCTCTCTGACATCAATACAAATATATTTGTTAAAGGAGTAAGATACATTTGAATTTCGTTTGTGTCCTATTATACAACGGTGACCTTCATCCGTATCGAGAAGAGGATTTGGCCTTTTCTTTCCAGAAATCAAACGTGTTGGAATTATTCATGCTCCGGCAGTAACTCAAACGTGAGCAAAATTTATTTCCTTTCTTTTTTTTTTTTAAACTACGTTTTTATCGATTTCAGAGAGGAAGAGAGAGGGAAAGAGAGAGAGAGAGACCTCCATGAGGAGAGAGAATCACAGATCGGCTGCCTCCTGCACGCCCCCCCCCCCCGACTGGGGATGGAGCCCACAACCCGGGCCTGTGCCCTTGACCAGGAATCAAACCCGGGACCCTTCAAGTCCGCAGGCCGACGCTCTATCCACTGAGCCACACCAGCTAAGGCTGATTGTTATTTCCTTTTATTTTTTTTAATATATATTTTATGGATTTTTTTACAGAAAGGAAGAAGGATAGAGAGTTAGAAACGTCGATGAGAGACAATCATCGATCAGCTGCCTCTTGCACACCCTCTACCCGGGGATGTGCCCGCCACCAAGGTACATGCCCTTTGACCGGGCTCGAACCCGGGACCCTTCGGCCCACAGGCCTCTGCTCTGTCCACTGAATCAAACTATAGCTAAGGCTGATTGTTATTTTTATTTTAATAATTGTTCATTGACTTACTTTTTAGTGATTTCTGTAGAGAAAGGGAGAGGGAGAGAGAGTTAGAAACATCCACGAGGAGAGAGAATCACGGACCGGCTGCCTCCTGCACGGCCCCCCCGTGACCTGGGGATCCGTCTTGCCACAGAATCGAAGCCTGACATCCTCAGGTTCATGGGTCAACGCTCAACCACTGGGCCGTGCCGACCGGGCCCGGCAAACGGATCATCAACAAGCAGCAGGGTCTCCCCAGAGACGCTTAATTATTAAAGATGACGGGAAGCTTAATTATTGAAAAGGAGAAGGCCTGCCTGCCTGCTGAGCGCCCCTGCCCCTCCCTCTCTCTCTCTGCTTGTTTTCCCCGAAAAGCCGTGGACAGACGTGGACAGATGGAGGCCCCCTGGGGCTTGTTAGCAGGCGATGGATCACAGCGGCCCCCGTGTTGCTCGCTAATAGCGGGGAGAGAGGGGGTCAGGGACATTCCGGGTGACAAGGCCAGGGGACACGCTCAGGAATGGAATGCTAATGGGGATTCTTGCAGGAGAGGAGGTGGGAGCTGGGCCTCTGCCGTGTCCGGCGGTGGAGGTGGGGGAGGGAGGGAGAAGGTGCAATGGGAGCAGCCGTGGTGGACTGCAAACTGCACGGCTGTGGGCACAGTCACGTTTGGGTCGTGTGATGTCATATGTGTGTGTGTGTAGGTATATACATACATACATACATACATATATATATATATTCCCCCAAAAATGGAATACACAATGTAACAGCTGATAGCTCAATCTTCAAAATGAATTGTTTTTTTAATAAACACACTGCCTTTATGATTATTCTAGTGCGTATGCCTTTTGGGGCAATATATATATACACACGCACATGCAATACACACACACACACACACACATATATATTCCCCCCAAAATGGAATACCCAATGTATCAGCTGATAGCTCTATCTTCAAAATGAATTGTTTTTTAATAAACGCACTGCCTTTATGATTATTCTAGTGCATATGCCTTTTGGGGCAATATATATATACACACACACACATACACACACACACACACACATATACAAATACACACACACACACACACACAGAGCAGCCAGATGAGGGTGATGTGATCTCTGGACGCAGAACCGTCCGGCCGCCCCGTGTCCGTCCGATAGAATAAAAGGCTCATAGGCACATGGTCCCCTCGACCGGGAGTCCGACCAGCAGGCAGGCCGGCCGGCCGCCCACGTCCCCGCCCCCTGGCCAGGCTGGCCGGACCCCTCCTGCCTTTCGGAAGGCACCTTCCGGCCAGGATGTCCCGGGCGCAGGGCACCTTGACCTCATTCCCCAGGAGGGCTGTGGGAGGAGAGAGGGTGTGTCATTAACGCCACACCATTCATTTCCCTCGGCTTTGAAGGCGACAGCTGAGGCCCTTGCAGGCTTTTAGGAAATTACCCAGGAGGCACGGGTGGCCCATGGCCAGGGGAACCGTGCCAGGTTATGAGGCCGGGGCGTGTCCCTCCTGAGCTGGTCACCGGGGCCTTGTCTGCCTGGGCCAGTCACCAAGGGTGTGTCTCCAATCACCAGGGAAATGGCCCCTGATTGTCATGGGGGGGGGGGGGGGGCGGGGGCGTGTCCCTCCTGAGCTGGTCTGCCTGCCTGATCGCCCCAACTGCTCCCCTGCTTGCCTGATCGCCCCCAACTGCTCCCCCACCTGCCTGATCGCCCCCAACTGCTCCCCCGCCTGCCTGATCGCCCCCAACTGCTCCCCTGCCTGCCTGATCGCCCCTAACCGCCCCCCTGCCTGCCCGATCGCCCCTAACTGCCCTTTCCTGCAGGCCTGGTCGCCCCTAACTGCTCCCCTGCCTGCCTGATCGCCCCTAACCACTCCCCTGCCTGCCTGATCGCCCCCAACTGCCCTCCCCTGCCTGCCTGATCGTCCCTAACCACTCCCCTGCCTGCCTGATCACCCCTAACCACTCCCCTGCCTGCCTGATTGCCCCTAACTGCTGCCCTGCCTGCCTGATCGCCCCCAACTGCTCCCCTGCCTGCCTGATCGCCCCTAACTGCTCCCCTGCCTGCCTGATCGCCCCTAACTGCTCCCCTGCCTGCCTGATCGC